AATTGGCTGTGTTGTACCTCTAGGGCTAGAAAGTAAAAAAAGATATTTAGTGTAGCCTTTCCACCTGGGCTCCTAAGATGGGTGAAGTTTTCTGTTCAGAAGACATAATGCGGTCTAGCTTGTTGTCATCCTCTCCGAGTTCTCCTTTTCTGTCTGCCTACGTTCTGTACCCTGCTTACTGTCCTTCGCCTGCCAGTGGCCATTCACATCAAGTCCAAATTCTGGCATTCAATGCCCCTCCGGGAGTCGTGCTCCATGTCTGCAGGCTACAGTCTATCGTCACTCAGCAGCTTGCGCTCAGTTACGAGCGACCACTTACCTCACAGCTCCCAGAGGCAGCGTTGCCTTTATTTCACCTGGCCTTGACTTTTCTCTCTTCTGCAGCAAAGTGTCTGGATAAAAGAATTATTCTGAAATATTATGTCGTTAAAAGTTCATCTTTGTTCTGAATTTTTCTGCAGCCCTAAGGATCCCATGCTGGTTTTAAACCCATTGAACACATCTGGTAACTGAGATGCTTCTCTTTGCATTTTGTGCTTGTGCAACCTGTTTTAAATTTGAGGAGTATTTTTGTAATCTGATATCCACACCACTAATAGCAGGTGATGGGAAGAAAAAAAAAGTTTCAGGAATTCATATTGACTTAATTTGCTGGGTAAACTAATGAGGTTAAATTCCATGTCTTGCATCTAAAAGGTTTTAGGTTTTCTGTGGTTTGACAGCACATCTACTACCACATAGTTATCCCACTGACAGATTCTCACACCTGTATTGTGAGTCTCTGCAGGTCATCTAGAGATATAGAGACCTCTTGGTTTGCTTCCATAATCGTGCTCTCTTTCCATTGCATTTCAATTTAGGTGGATGGCTACATGTTTTCAAATGTCCTATTTTCAAATTATGGATAAGACAGAGCTCAATGAAATTATTTATTGACCTATTTCAGCAAACTGGTAGCAATTAGATGGAAAAGAGAAGTAGGCCTATATTTGGCCTGTGAACATTTGACTCCCACAGTAGTATAATTGCTTTGCATGGTGAGTTGATTGGTCAGATCACAAGATAAACTGCCCATGAGTTATGACTCAGTCCTCTAATTGTTCATGCCTACAGTGTTGCTAATCTAAGTGGTTGTTATGATGCATCCCTTTCTTCTTCTTCCATTCCCTGTCTGTCAGTTTGAAATGGCCACACAAACAAAAACTTTTAATAAAGCAGACTGGAGCAAAACAACCTTTTTAGAGTCATTACTGTTGAATTCTCCCCTGACAGTCCTATCTCTTCTCTCCCAAACCTACGCGACACTAATACGTATTGAAAGCAATGATTTTCTGCTGGGTGGATGAGATGTTGAGTTCTACAAAGTGATGTGATAAGTCCTTGTTAAGAAATGGACAGCCTTCATGTTAATAGCCCACGATTAACAGTCCATTTCAAAGGTATTTTAAAAGGATCAGCAATTCCGGTTAATGATTTGGCTCTTTAACTCCACCCACTGAATCCCTACAGATGACCATAAAGGTGTGCTTTCAGAAAGAAGAGACAGAGTTGAAAATATTCAGATACTAAACAAAGAATGTGAGAGAATGGGGCTAGTGTCTCCGTGACATTCGCTAACCTCAACCTTTTGCTATATCCTAAAATCATAATCCTATAACTAGGTCGAAGAAACACAAGAAATTCCCTTCTTGAGTGTGTAGTGTAGAAGTCCACCGCAAACGACAACTATAAATTACAATTTAACAAAAGTGTGTCTCGCTTGGTGTAGGCTGGTGCTACAAATTATACACACACTGACCTTTATGTTATTGAAATAACATAAAGGCATTAGTGGATATCAGGTGCAAACGCAAAGTTCTGCTGCATGCACAACACCTTGCAACAACAAAAAAAGGATGCTTGACTGTCGAAAGCCAAGTTATATACCCTGCAGATATAAGGGCATTCACTAATCAGCTGTATCCAACTGCTTTACAGCAAACTGTAAAGGAACTTGAAGCTATTACCCAAGAAAAAGAATTGCTGCACCTCACAGACTGTTAAACATGGCCTTAAGTGTATAAGTGGAATAACATCATTGAAAATAGACAGATATAGCCCAGGGTTATAATGGACTCTAAGTTGATGCTTAGTTGACTTTTATCTTCACACAACTTTAACTAAATGTTGTCCTTGATTTTTGTTTTTTATTCGTAGTGTAAGAAAAGGACAACGGACTGGGAGCTCTGTTATGCAATTATTTCCTTTCTTTTGTATTTATATGTTTGGCCTTCCTGGTGTGACTGACTGTATTTGAATGCCAAAATATTGATCTGATACATCCAATGTGGTGAAAAAGTGTGTGGCTTCTTACAGATTTCTTACAGATTTCATCAGTCTTTGTCAAACCTACATGTTTCATATCAGGAAAGGAAATACATTTTTAGACAAATTTAACCTGTCACATAGTTTTCAGATGATAAAATTATTCATTAAGCATAATTGATCAATCATTCTTACTAAAGTATTTACAACTGAGCAATTTTGAAATGAGAATTTCATTTATTAAGAGAAAAGTAATTTGAACAAACTTGGCCATATGTAAATTAGTAATTGCCCCTTATGAAGCTAAAAATCAAGCTTAATTAACAACAACAGCTAATTTGAATCACTGCCAGACTTGTAGGATTAGGAATGTATTTACTGTAAGTAGAACCCATCTATTAACATGAAGGCCCAAAGAATTCAAAAAGCCTCAAATCATGTCCTGATCTGAAAAGATACTACAGAGAGGATCATTATACATAAACAAGTCAAATAAAGAAATCATGCAGTGAATCAGGAGTGGCTGGTTTAAATGGATGAAAAATTGAGCAGCTTTACTTAAGCAAACCAGATCTGCAATAATTACTCATATGACACTTTATATAAGTCTTACAAGGGAAAGCAGATTTACAGTCTTGTATTTGTCTTTTCCAGTGGTCTGTTCTTTTATCGTCTGTTCTGCTCTGACAAAAGTTTAACTTTCTGTTTTATAACTGTTCACAAGGACATAACACAAACTGTCCTTGAAGAGAAGTTTCTCATAGGCCGCCTCATGTGGCAAGTTAACTGTCTTGAACTCGGGGAACATAGTCTCATCAGAAAAAATCCTTAAATATCAGCAGCAAACATGTTTTCAGGTGACAGTTGGGTAGATTACATGTGTTGTTTGACCTTGCAAGTATGAATGTGCCCTGAGCAAACACTTTGAAGGCAACAAAGCTGATTACTGCAGACATGGTGAAACATTGGATAGACAGAGTTGGTACAAGAGTTTTCTCACGATGCCGACTAAAATTGATCTAAGAGTGCATCAATGACTTCATCCAAGAAATCACAAAACAACCAACAAGGACATCTAGAACCCCAGGCCCGATGTCCAATTTAAGATTAGAGTTTAGAATTTACCTAGAGAAAAAGACCAGGCAAATTTTGAAACTATGTTAGAGTAACAAGGTCGAAACCACTGCTGACCCACAAGCAAAACAACACCCGTTTGACATAAAAAAAAAAGATAAAAAGGTTTGTGACTTTGAATTCAGTGACTTTTTTCTGCAAGACACTTGTACATTAAACACAGAAAAGTCTACCTTGGAATGGCAAAAAAAAGGGTTTATAGTGGGATATTTAAAGTCCAGTCTCATAACCTTAAACAGGCCATCTACGTTTAACACTAAGGGTAAATTAAAACAATTCTGCAAAGAAGGATGAACCAATGTTTTGTACAGTGATCTAAAAGATTTAGTGACAGTTATCATAAATACTTGATAGTAGTTGGTGCACAAAGGGTGGAGCAACCACTTAACCTACTGAAGTTATTATTTCTGATAATCTGACACAAATTTGTTTGACAAAAAGCTCAAAGGAAAGAAATATGTAAGGGGTTTGAATGTCACGGTTTAATCCATAAACACAACATTTACCCATTCACTTCTCCTGTTTCATTTCAGTTTTTGTTGCATCATAGCAAAAAAATAAACAAATGTGCTGACAATCTGGCATTGCTGCTGCATATGCTATGTGTAAATGTCTATTTTTTCCTACTGTCATAAGAATACAGCTGGGGCTCAGCTGTGAAGAAATAATGCATAGAGTGCGTGTGCATTCTAACACCTGGGACCAAGGCTGTCCAAACTTAGACGCTGAACACATACCATTAGCATCTTCCTTGTTTCAGATTAATTTTATCAGGCCACTGACTTTTGTTTAAATATTTTTTTTTAAATCCTTTGATCTTTCACATCTCTTACAGTGGTTCTTTGTTTTGTGTGCCCGGGGAATCCCTCAGTTCCTTATGAACTTTCTCTCAGATTGGATTCAGTGAAAAATGCCAAGTGAAAAGGTCATCGAGTTACAATCCATATAAGCGATATCAAAGATGGTCAACATAGGAATGAATTGAGTTTCAATGGAAATGCTTTTGAAAAAGGCCTGTTGGGTTTAATAGAATATGAAAATCACATAATTTAACCATTCAGTCCTGTTTGCCGTTCCTTTTTTTAGGGTTGACTGTCAATATTTGTTTGTTTTCTTTCTCTGAAGATGTCCATATGTGGCTGGAGAAAATGCAGGGAAATTGTTTTTTCTTTTGAAGAAACAGTGAGAAGCAAAGAAAGAGAGGAGCAAAGGGAAACTGATATTTTAATCATGTGGGCTGGTTGGCTTGTAACTATGTTTAAAGGCCAGCAGCATATGCCCAGTACCCTTGCGTTTTCATCTGGTTCGGTTAGTTGGCACTAAGAGAGGAACACATTCGCTGAAACACACTGCTCTGTCTCTCTCTGCCTTACAGCAGCGTTTCTGTTTACTCTGCCCCTTCGTCATCCCACTTTTACAGTTTGACTGCAGCACCAGATGTGCAGCCAGGAGCTCAGACTTCATCAATCAGACATGTTCACTTCTGGAATACGTCTATGTTCTCTTGTCTTAAAAAAAAACAGTTTGGTTAAAAAAAATTGTATTTTGGTTGTTTGTTTCAGAAACAGCACAGCAGGAGGTGCCTATATCAAACAGTGCTGCAAAGGTTTCTGTATCGACATTCTTAAGAAGATTGCCAGGAACGTGAAGTTTACTTATGATCTTTATCTGGTCACCAATGGAAAACATGGGAAGAAGATCAACAATGTGTGGAATGGCATGGTTGGAGAGGTAGTGTCATGTTAATTTCTAGAAAATCAGTTATTTATTACCTCTTGGTTTTATGTGGAAACACTTGAAATATGACACTTCCCTTTTTTTCCTTGTATTAAAAAAAATAATAATCCTTTGCAAGAGTCCATTATCTATGACAAAGGTATCACAACATTTCTTGTTTAAAGTATTGCCATTGCAAAGGATGCTGATTTTACTGGATGTTTTACATCAGACACAATGAATTTACATTGTAATGTACATGGCAATGATATATTTGACCAGCTTAAGTATCTTTAAAGCTACAGTGTGTAATAATTACAGGGATATACAGTCAGAAATTTAATATATTATACATAACTATGTTATTTATCATCCTCTACATGCTCAGCCTCTTAACCTTAATATTTGCGTTGCCTTAGAATTCGTTATTTATAATTACATAGGAGCGGGTCTCGCAGCCATGGAGGCAGACATCTTTGCGCTACGGCAACGCAGAGCCAACAAACTAGCGATTGCGAGATCGCCCATTACGCTCGAAAGTAACTACGGCAAGTTGAGAGAGATGAACTGAGACGGTACTGAACACACAGACTAATGAAATACTATCTGTAAAATTATCTATATAAACAAACCTCATCACTTGAGAAGGTAGGTGATGCGGACGTCGTGGAAGACATTTTGTCCCGTAACGCTCGCCGTACTGTTGGGGGGGAGAAGCGGTGGGGGGGAGATGTTCATGTTGCTGCGGTCTGCAGTCTGGACGTTAGATGTCGCTGAAAATTACACACTGTAGCTTTAAGTGGCCTTGGCACAAAAAAACATGTACATTTCTAGAGTCTAAGTGTCGAAATATTGTTGAATTTTTTTTGGGATGATTAAAATGAATGGAAAATATTACTTAATTGAATCTATAAACACAAAATTAGAAATTTAAATTGCATTAACCTGTTTTTTCAGATTCTATTTCACCTTTCAGAGGTTTTATAAATACTTATTATTTACTGTTTAATGTAAGACCATGGTAAAAGTATTTAAGTAAAAGTAAAACTACATGTATTATATGTATTATATACATGTTTTGGACTTAAATGGTCATTTAAGAAAATAAAAAATTTGAAAATGAAAATTTAAGAAAACAAAATGTAAGAAAAAATAAAAAATAAACTTAAAAAACAATTCTATGTGCAGATATAGGTTTATTTCCCTTTTTTGCTCACTGTGTTGATAAAGACAGCATAAAAAACATATTGATTCTAAATAGTTTTCTTTTTTTATTTTTCTCTTGTATTAACATAATTAAAGTTACAACATTTAAAAAAGATTTGAGTAAATTTAAACTCTAAAAAAATGTAATGGAAATGGGTTGTCCCAACCGATCCATCATCTACAATGGTTCCCAGCCCCCTTTATTCATCCATGTTGCTGTAAAACTGTACTTAACTGGAAAGAGTTTAAGCTCTTGATTTGACCTCTCTTGCAGTTGGTACAGCATGTAGTTGTTTATATATTTATTTCATATAATTCAAGCCAATTTAACAAAAAGGTGTAATAGGAAAAGATAAAAAAACAGATTCTCAAAAAAGAGGAAAAGATTAAAATATGATTTTGTTACTAGCTTTTGGAACAGCTGCTAAACTAACACAAATCAATATAATATTACAAACCAAACCACAGTTAACGTTTTCTATCGCTATATGTTAAGGAAAACACTCTATAGCTATAAAGAACAGCTACATAAAGAAAATGTTGTCAGACATTTTTAAATTTAAAACACATATAATAAATGTACAAAAGATTAAAACTTAAATCTGGGATATTTACCAGCCTTATTTAATGATAGTTCCAAAGTCAGCATGCTCAATTTGCAGCATGGAAATATTTGGGGTGGTTGAGGTCATTTTAAAGCAACATTTGAACCCTGCATCTATGGGTTTTTATTTACCAGACTTGCTAACTTTCATAGCCTGTTTATAATGTTTGACTCAAAGGGTATTAATCTTTATAACAGCAATGAGTTTAATGGATTTAAAATCAAGGGCCCAATGTTTCCCTTTAAGTGTAATTCATAATAATGCTGTAAAACAAATGCTAGACGTGTATTCTCTCACTTTCCTTCTTGTAATTTTGTACTTTACAGTTAAAAAAATCAATACATTTGTTTAAATTTTGCATTATAATTTGAGTATATAAATTACCTTTTAATTAATCATAAAGAACAAACAAATAAACCAGTGAAACAGGATAATAGCATTGTAAATATTTAGGAAAAAACAGCTAAATTAAACCATAGAAAATAAATGGCAAATTTTATTTTTAATTGCGAGCAATAGGTCAAAGTGACCTCCACCAGTAGCTGAACATTTGCATTACTGACCACTATCACTGTGATATTTCACATCCAAACCCAAACTGAAAAGCCACGAAGAATCTGAGAGAGGCTAGCTCTGAGTGTTAAGATTATTTTTTACATTTCTCAGGTGGTGTACAAGAAGGCCATCATGGCTGTGGGGTCACTGACCATAAACGAAGAGAGGTCAGAGGTCATCGACTTCTCTGTGCCCTTTGTGGAGACTGGCATCAGTGTCATGGTGTCACGCAGCAATGGAACTGTCTCACCCTCTGCATTCCTTGGTAGGTATTTCAGCATTTCGTCAATAAAATGTGTTTTCCCATTTCAGTTTTTTTCAGCCTTACACCGTGCTGAGCCAAATACTAGAGGCAGAATAATGGAGAGATGCTATCATGTTGGCAAAATCCCAAATATGAAATGGAATACTTAATTTACAGACTATATGATGGCCCAAATCTACTTGTACTCTGACTTTATCTGGGCCTTAGCACCCTGAGCACATTAATATTTCTACCAGAGCAGAGCAAGTAGAGCATGCCAGCTGTTTCTTTTTCCTGTTATTTTTTTGAAAAGACAGCTTAGACAAAGCTGTCTTGATGTTTGTCTTCTTCCTCTTCTTACTCTTCTTCCACTTCTCCAATTGTTCAGATGATGAGAAACTGAAGCACTCCTCAGTGCTTGCCTAATGTCCTGTATTGTTGCTGGAGTACAGTGGGGTGGGGGGTGTTGGTCTCTGTGTGTGTCGGTCCCAGTGCATCAAGGCATGTGTCTGAATTACAAAGGGAAAAAAAGTGTTTAGGGTAATGCCTAATATATCTGGGCATTTTCGTATAGATGTAAAGGATGTGTGGAGAATGAATGTGCTTTGGCTGTGTGTACCATGTGCGTGTGTGTGTGTTAGTGTGTCAAGCAGGGCTCAGGGTATCAGTTACGGTTCAGTATCTCTCGCACTCATATTAGAGGCACCTCAGCGCACAATCTCTCAGGGTTGGCTAACCCTGGCAGTTACATACTTACACATGCAGTGGCACAAATACACACACACACATCAACATAGAAATTGTCTGGGATCAACATCTCTGGCACTCATCGCGCTCTCTGAACTCCTGCCCTGCTGCACACCGAATGCAGAATCATTCCCACACAAATAAATCATACACACATGTCGATAGTCGGGGTACATCGGATCGCCAAGAGTTTGAATCTCATCTCCCCCACCTTCCCCCCCCCCTGCCCCAAGCCTCTCCCTCTCTCAGCTCTCATCCAGGGGAATAATGAAAAATATGGAAATGTGCTCCTTCAAACTCTCTATGACTAACTCTGTCCCTCTCCTTCCTTCCCTAGCTTCTTACTACTGTTTCCTCCATCATATTGTGTAACTCCCTCCCTTCCAAATTCTGTGTTGTTATTTTTTTCCCCCTCCATCTCCTTACTCTCTTTGACGTCTCTCCAGTCCATGGACTCAGTTTCACTAACACTGAGTGTCTCCTTCTCTTCCTTCTTCCAGAGCCCTTCAGCGCATCAGTTTGGGTGATGATGTTTGTGATGCTGCTCATTGTCACAGCCATCGCCGTCTTTCTCTTTGAGTTTGTCAGTCCACTGGGCTTCAACCGCAACTTGGCCCAAGGCAAAGGTAGACTTGCGCGCACACATGCAATCAGGAATATCACACCAATCATTTTCCCAGCAGTAGGAAGCAGCAAATCCAAGTTTACCCAGAGGCAAGAAAAAAATGACCTATTATTGCTCAGTTCATGCAAACGCTAGAACACATTTCCATTTTTTTTCCCAAAGCTGCTTACAAGGACTTTTGTTTGAAAGCACCATCTAAACATAGGACCTGAGGCCATCCTGTTAACTCTTAACTCACTGAATTTTAATCTAATGTACAACTTCTTTGGAAACTAGTAGGTTAAAAATGAAAAACATTTCTTTCATTAACCTGAATATGATGCAGAAAATTCACATTCAGTTAATTTTTATCTCTCAGGGTGATAAAATATTTTGACATCTAAGTAGAGTAAATTATTAATTTTATAGCATAAATTCACAGTTTTTTCCCAAACAAGATGGTGCCCCCTTTAACCAGGGAAACAGCAACCTGTGAGAACAACAAAGATGCACGTCTCTGGTTGTAGGTCAACATTTATGAATCTGGTGTTTTTGAAATAGTAACAAAACCCACTCCACCCACAGTGAAACATTTTAGTGGCTGTATTTCTCCTACGGGGAGAGGGAAGGTTTAGCTAAAAACAGTGCAATAATAGATTAAAACTTGTTAGAAAGTGCAAAAGACTTAAAGGGGACCTATTATTCTTCCTTTTAAACAAGTTGGGGTATGCCTATGGGCTATAAAAACATGTTCACTACACTTTCTGCACAGAATTGTTCTCAGATAATGAGATTTCACCTCCTTAGTTCCACCTATTTTGATCTCCTTTTGGAACGAATCGCTTAGGTCACTGTCACCTTTATGCAAATAAGATATAGCTTACCCGCAGGGCCGGCGATTGCTATAGGCGAGCTAGGCAATTGCCTAGGGCGACAAATGTGTTGGGGGCGCCCTCTATACTTAGCGTCGCCCTTAGGCTTACTTCCCATTAATCATAGAATTAGAAAAAAAAGCGAATTAAACCGGTTATGAAGCGTCCGTCAGTATGACTTAAGCTTACGTATATATAAATAGCAAAATATGAACAAATAAATATACCACAGTTTTTTTATTTATTTTTTCACATTTAAGAGAAAATCGGAAAAGATTCTGATCTCTTTTCAAGCGCCCTCCAACCCGGAAGTCGTGACGTCAATCACTGCAGCATGTCCACCAATATTTTGGAATGAAATTGTAAGCAAACAGATATTAAAAGTAAAACAAGTGAATTCTGACACTTAACTTTGCTCGCGACTCGAGGATGGCTGAACGGAAAAGACTCCCCTCTCCTCCTCCAGCTGCTGCCGCAGTCGGCCCGTCTTAATCATCCACTCAGAGTACCACTGGTAAGCGCACACAGACTTTGTAGCTTGTCCGGTCAGTTAAAAATATTAATTGTGAAATCCGGCTTGTAATCGGAAGCATACAAGCTAGTTAGCTTGAAAAGTAAATAAAGTTTCAGACGTGCTGCGTGATGATGTGTTCAGATTGGCTCAGTAAAATGACAATTAGGTTATCATGATGCGTTCAAGTGTAACGTAAAGAAAACGGGAAATTTTGTTTTTGGCGAAAAACATGAGTAATACAGTTGTATATTGCTCTATATATAATTAAACTACTGATGCCAACATTTATTAAAAATTACATTTAATTTAAAATACAATTTTTTATTTGTTAAATATTTTCCTAATCACTAAAAACATGATGAAAAGTGACAGTAGACAATATATTCACCAACAATTGTGAAAATATATTCTAGTTAGTTTTATGTCATTTCCAAGTGGCCTATTACATTAGCCATGTTTATTGAAGGCTAGAAACGTTTTTGTTATGCTCACTTGTTAAGCAATAGAAGCAATACCAGTTCTGTTAATAAAATTTTGTTGCATCGTCTTTCCACCAAATAACAGAAAAGTATCGATAGTGGTATCGATAAAGACTCGGATCGATAAGGAGTATCGATAAAGGTATCGATATCAATAAATATTAACGATCCCCATCCCTAATGTTGACATTTTTTTCTCAGAATTATGTGCTATATTATTAGCTTGAGAATGGGTAGAAGATACTAATATAAATAAAATATTTTGTAGTGATTATCTGCATTGAGTGTTCAAAAGGGATGTACAGGTGCTGGTCATAAAATTAGAATATCATGAAAAAGTAGATTGATTTCAGTAATTCCATTTAAAAAGTGAAACTTGTATATTATATTCATACATTACATACAAACTCATATATTTCAGATGTTTATTTTGTTTAATTTTGATGATTACAAATGACAACAAATGAAAATCTCAAATTCATCATATCAGAAAATTAGAATATTGTGAAAAGGTTCAAAATTGATGGCCCCTGGTGCCACACTCTAATCAGCTAATTAACTCAAACCACCTGCAAAAGCCTTTAAATGGTCTTTCAGTCTAGTTCTATAGGCTACACAATCATGGGGAAGACTGCTGACTTGACAGTTGTCCAAAAGACGACCATCGACACCTTGCACAAGGAGGGCAAGACACAAAAGGTCATCGCTAAAGAGGCTGGCTGTTCACAGAGCTCAGTGTCCAAGCACATTAATAGAGAGGCGAAGGGAAGGAAAAGATGTGGTCGAAAAAAGTGTACAAGCAAGAGAGATAACCGCACCCTGGAGAGGATTGTGAAACAAAACCCATTCAAAAATGTGGGGGAGATTCACAAAGAGTGGACTGCAGCTGGAGTGAGTGCTTCAAGAACCACCACACACAGACGTATGAAAGACATGGGTTTCTGCTGTCGCATTCCTTGTGTCAAGCCACTCTTGAACCACAGACAGCGTCAGAAGCGTCTTGCCTGGGCTAAAGAGAAACAGGACTGGACTGCTGGTGAGTGGTCCAAAGTCATGTTCTCTGATGAAAGTAAATTTTGCATTTCCTTTGGAAATCAAGGTCCCAGAGTCTGGAGGAAAAGAAGAGAGGCACTTCATCCACGTTGCTTGAAGTCCAGTGTAAAGTTTCCACAGTCAGTGATGGTTTGGGGTGCCATGTCATCTGCTGGTGTTGGTCCATTGTGTTTTCTGAGGTCCAGGGTCAACGCAGCCACATACCAGGAAGTTTTAGAGCACTTCATGCTTCCTGCAGCTGACCAACTTTTTGGAGATGCAGATTTCATTTTCCAACAGGACTTGGCACCTGCACACAGTGCCAAAGCTACCAGTACCTGGTTGAAGGACCATGGTATCCCTGTACTTAATTGGCCAGCAAACTCTCCTGACCTTAACCCCATAGAAAATCTATGGGGTATTGTGAAGAAGAAGATGCAATACACCAGACCCAACAATTCAGAAGAGCTAAAAGCCACTATTAGAGCAACCTGGGCTATCATAACACCTGAGCAGTGCCACAGACTGATCGACTCCATGCCACGCCGCATTGCTGCAGTAATACAGGCCAAAGGAGGCCCAACTAAATACTGAGTGCTGTACATGCTCATACTTTTCATGTTCATACTTTTCAGTTGGCCAACATTTCTATAAATCCTTTGTTTTTATTGGTCTTCAGTAATATTCTAATTTTCTGATATGATGAATTTGAGATTTTCATTTGTTGTCATTTGTAATCATCAAAATTAAACAAAATAAACATCTGAAATATATGAGTTTGTATGTAATGTATGAATATAATATACAAGTTTCACTTTTTAAATGGAATTACTGAAATCAATCTACTTTTTCATGATATTCTAATTTTATGACCAGCACCTGTACAAATAATCATCAAAATATATGAAGTTATGGCTGTTCATCATAGAATATGTGAACAAAAAAAAAAACAACAACTTCAAACTTTTTATTTTGTAATGGTATTCATAAAAGCACTTTTGTTTGTAGAGGGTTAATCCGTTCTTTAATCACTAATCAATGTCAGAAATCAGGGTAAATATACCTGATATATTTTATTTAGAGGAAAATTTTGTTTATCTCATTTCTATTTATGTTCAAATGATTTAATTGAACTGGAAAAGAAAATTTAATTTAATGTTTATCAATTACTTTTTATGTAGTCCTTGGTTGAAGAATTTCTTAAATTTATTATTTTTTATTGTTATTTGGTAATTTCTGAAATTGATTTATTTAATATTTGTTTAATGTGTGTTAAATTTGTTAATTGTCTGAAATAAATTCATTCAATGATTCAATCCAGTTTTTTAGTTATACTTTACCTAAGTGTCCTTACAGATGGTTAAAAGTGTTTTTGCACAGTCCTAACTTTGAGTGTGTAATAAATTATTTAAAATAAGAGGTACTGAAACCTATTCTGGTATTTGTCTATGCATCACTCCATGCTAAGTTACAGTTTTTACTGAATGCTTAAACACAACCTTGATTCTTATAGCACAATTTCTAAAACTATTAATACTTATAGCAAATCCACTCACTGAACTCAATGAAGCACTGAACAGATGCTGAAAACAGTATTCGTATTTAGCACGGCAAAAGTGAGCGGGGGGGGGGGGGGCAAAACTCAATCTCGCCTAGGGCAACCAAAGGGCTAGAACCGGCCCTGCTTACCCGTTCCTCAGAGTAATGATTATACTCACTCTCTACACTGGAAAATAACTGTAAAACGATGCAGAACAGTGCAACCATCTTTTGACCCTGAGTCAAATGCTGATGCAAAAAAAAACAATATAATAATACAATTTAAATCTAGTGTATATTCTCCAAATGTGGCTACAGCAAGCTGTTAATGTAATATCCCTGGTAACAAGTTGGGCTTACAACTCTAACAACCACTGTTTACATTTTGGAGAATTTGCCATCTGTAAAAGGTTTAGTGCTACACTGCAAAAAATTAAAAACCTAATTAAGTCATTTTTTCTTAAAACAAGTACATTTTCCCTTAAAATTAGGAGGTAAATGACACTTTGCTAATGGAACAAGACAATTTACATTCAAGAAAGAAAAAACAATTGTATTGTCTTATTTCAAGTGCATCTATCTTATTTTAAGAGTAAAATACTAATTCATTTGGTCGATTATCTTTTTTACTTACTTAAATAAAGGGTAAATACACTAAATATAAGAAATTTTTACTTATTTCTAGATTATTTTACAGTGTACACAGCAACGGTTGCCTGATTACAGCTAACCCTACTGCACGTTAGGTCTCACTGACTCCTCTTTTATCCTGTATCATTTTCATATCAAGCTCTAAACACGACCTATAATGTTTTATTACACGGTCACTGGGAAATGAGCTATGTCAGCATCAGTTCTCAGTCCCAAATCCAGTGAAGTTTCCTCCATGAGTCAAATGTGTATCTGATATTTACTTTGACAATTACTGGCTTCTATCATATTTGTTTTGTTTTGATTCACTCTTTTTAGTGGATTTTGACTAGATTTTTGTCTTTAAACTACTGCTTCTTCCTCTATTATTACTCCTACTTCGGAAACAACCATGACTTCCTGTATCAAAGCTGACAAGAGCACACATCCAGCATCAATTGACATCACACCCATAGGACTGTGCAGAAAAATTGGCCCCTGAACTGTAGCATATTATGCAGCACACAGCCTGTTTAAGGCAGTGGAGAGATACATTTTAACATTTCATCACAATTCCTGCCTCTAGTTCCTCTGAGTAGCGTATTGTTAGTTTTAGCTTGTACTTAATGACAAATAATCTTCCTGCCAAACAGCAATACATGGCACCTTATTAAGTATTCACTGTGTCCTACGCGAAGTGATTTTTTTTTTTCCAAATTTGTTTTCTTGGGTAATCCAGTTGCAAGATTTTAATCAAAATGATGGCATGAAGCTCTGTTCTGCTTGACTGTGAGAATGTACACATGCTGTTATTACGGCAACAACAAAACATTTGCTTTTTTCCGCTACAACTGTACAGCGCATACAGCAGTAAAACCAGCAGACCAAATTTACTCCTTTTATAATGATAAAGTGGGTGGAGCTCTGTCTGGTTGGTGAAGCTGGGGTTGTTAGGTGAGAGGCAGTAAACATTGATTGTGACATAATAATCAGTGCAGTTTTCAAATGAGTCCTTTTTTTAGACACCAAAAGAAAATTTGCTTATCTCTGGATAATGGCTCGATTTTTTTAAGAACTTGTGCTTTTTGTACTATGGGGAACCAACTCTGCCATATCTAAAAATCATATGCAGAAATAAATAAATTTTAAAAAATACAATAAACAAATAAATGTAAGTAGAGATTAAATTATACAGTGAGACATATATTAATATATCTCTTTTAATTAGCTTCTTTATATATTCACCTTTGTAATAGTTATGTTATTTATTTATTTTCCTATATAATCTTCAACTCTGTTTATTTATTTTATCATTTTGAAGTATTTATTTATGTTCATGATATATTTTTGTCTGTTTTATTCTTCCTTTGTATTTCTTTACCCTCTTTATTTGTTTAACACTATTTATTCCTGCCTGTTGTTTTTACATTTCTATATGCATTTCAAAATACAAAGGAAGAATAAAACAGACAAAAATATTATATCATGCACATAAATAAATGCAAAAAAAAGTAATAAATAAATAAAGTTGAAGATTATAAAGGACAATAAATAAATAAAGAAGCTAATTAAAAGAGTATAATTTAATTTCTACCTACATTTATTTGTTTATTGTATTTTGGGGGGCAATTAATTTTATGATTATTTATTTTTTGAGCATTTATTTATTTTTGTAGATGGTTTTTGTAGACCTGTTTAAATAAATTAGCAGGGATTTGGCAGCAACAGTTTGGTGGGGGGGAGGGGGGGGGTATTCTAGCAACTTTAAATCATAAAAAAGTTTGATGAAGCTATTTTGACAATGTCAAGACAGTGTCTTTAGTGTTTCATAAAGTCTATCTTGGCCTCACCATCATATTATCTTCTTCTGCTTTTTCTTTTTCTTTTTTTTTGTCTTACCTCCTTCCGGATTGTTAGACCCCCATGGTCCATCTTTCACCATTGGAAAGGCCATATGGCTTCTGTGGGGTCTGGTTTTCAACAACTCTGTGCCTGTGCAGAACCCAAAAGGCACCACCAGTAAATTCATCGTCTCCGTGTGGGCCTTCTTTGCTGTAATCTTTCTGGCCTCCTACACTGCTAACCTGGCCGCTTTCATGATCCAGGAAGAGTTTGTGGACCAAGTCACGGGACTGTCTGACAAAAAGGTACATTTTCACAAATATAGGCACAGACATACATATATATACAGTACACACATGCACACTCACAGTCAGGGTTGCTCTTGTAATGGATGCCAGGCCTGCGGCCAGACAAGGGTCTCTGGGGAGCGCCCTCGGGCTTCACAGCCCAAACCCACTGGCCGTCCCTGTCACCTCACTAACACTGCCAGCACAGCAATGCCACAGACACACGCACTCACACACACACACAGGCTGCAAAGATCAAAGGCGAGTGTGTGTTTAGTTCTCAGAGCTTGGCAGTGTCAGCAGAACCCAAGCCAGTCTTACACTACACTGGAAACGCAATGATGATGACTGATGAGTCCTCTCTGCTGTCTTTCCTTTCTCCTTTTCCCTCCGTCTCCTCTTGTCACTCTCCTCCCTTTCTTCCCTCCCTCTTCAGCGCCTCTCATTCATTTTTTTTTTACATTTTTGCCCCCATTACTGCTGGGACTTTCTTTTTCCTCTTTTTCTTCTCCCCCTTCTCTCCTTTTTCTGATGTCACTGACCTGTGCCTTTCATCTTTGCCTCTCCCTCTGTGCTCTTTCCACTCATCCAAATTACACTTTTTTAACAACTGCCGTTTCTCTTGCTTTCATTATTTCTATCCCTGCAGTTCCAAAGCCCGTATTCCTACTCCCCTCCATTTCGCTTTGGGACGGTTCCCAACGGCAGCACTGAGCGCAACATTCGAAAGAACTACCCAGATATGCACCAGTATATGACTAAATACCACCAGACAGGCGTCGTGGATGCGCTGGTCAGCCTCAAGACAGGGTAATGTAAACTGGTCGACCCTGTCAATGTCACCTTAGAAATCTTGACAATGGAAGACAATATCTGTTTATTTGTGTTGTAAAAATGTTAAAAAATTATCTAAGCCCATGGCTTAAACTTGCTAAAATACTGCAGTAGTTTTGCTCAGTGTTTCTCTCACTGACAGTAAAATGTTTGCAAGTGCTCATTATAGACTCTTGCTTCTGCAAAAAAAAAGGAGAAGCTGCCAACACAGGAAAACTGTAATTTGCTCTAGAGTCGTCTACCCTTTATTCTCCCTCTGTAATACACAATAGTAGCAGAGCAGGTTTTTAGTGTCCCATGGGCTTTAATCTTTAGGGTATTTTCTACAAACATAATTTTAGTTTTTGCTTTTGCATTAATTACTTTATTGAGATGGCACAGCAAATGAAAAAGTTTGTTTCTTACATCTCACACAGTTATACAACTCCAAACCACTATAATGAATGTTTTTGGCACAGTGATCAATAATTAAATACATCATAAGTAAAAAATTCTGCAGAAGAAAATCTAATCACTTTTGTTTGGGATGACAGAACCAATGAAAGATGCTCTCTGTCCACATTATACTGTTTTTCGTTTGTTTGTTTTTTAAGTGAGTCTAATGAATTATTAAAACAGTCTTAATAATCTGTGCTACAACCAATAAAAATGTGTTTATTAAATATAAGCCCTTTGGTGAACAGTTACAGTGTTAGGAATATGTTTAATAGAACCCATAGGTTGTATTTATTCAATTATATTTAGACATTTAAGGACACTTAAACACTTTCTGATGTCTCAGCCTCATATTGGAGGTATCTAGAGAGCACTTTGCATTTGTTCGCACCTGTGCTTTAAATGTATACAGAAGTAATTTCCCTCTGGGATTATTTAAGTATTTCTGATTCCGATTCAAGCAAGATTGCATCATTGCCACATGCTTTTTTCTCGGTTTTTGTATTAAAGGTGAAGAGTCCTGCAAAACAAACATACCTTAAGTATTATAGCTTATCTCTGCTTTATTTTTTTTATTTCATGAGAATATGTAGAAACTTTAAATCTTTACCAGTTTAACTATCATGTGATAAATGTCCTTTTCCCAAAGACTGCCTCCAAAATAAGAAAAAGGAGAGAACAGGCCTGTTACAGGTAAATAAGTCAGATTTCAGTTCACCTTCATCAAGGATAGAATGAGTGCGACAAAAACAACCATTCACCTACACCTAGTGTACCTTTAATTTTGGCCAACAATCGCTCACATTTTATTTTTGGTTTGTTTTGTTCCAAGAGGAACCCATCAAATAGGGCAGTAAGGACAGGGGATTGAACATTTAGGGTGAAAAACATTAAAGCAGAGAGATATATGTTGTTTCACTCCAAGTGTGTATGTTGTGAAGCCGTAAATAAATATGTGGAAAGCACTTCATGTCTCCTGTTAAGTACAGTAGGGGATCTGTGAGGCTATGGGCCTGTTTCACTGGTATCATGATCTATTTGAAATGGCAAGAAATTTCAAATCACATCTGGTTAACTCTAGCAAAGAACTAAAAACTTTGAGTCAGTTCAGTATTTTTAATTAGTATAGTATAGTAGTAGCCAAATAAACAAAGAATGTTTTACACCCCTGCTGAAATCCTAAATGAACATTTATATTGAGCTGAATAGATGAGCAGTTAAGAGAGGATCCAGGACTCAATCTGTAGCTAAATGTACTGTATTCCTTCCCCCACTTCATCTTAATTCAAATGACTGAAACACCTCCTCAGCATTTTATAGGGGTAGAGAAGGCCTTGTAATTACCTTTTCATTTCAATCAGGGGTATTGTACCAGGGGAACCTCTAAACGCTGGATTCCACTGATCTAGAATAATGATGCATATAGACTTGTTCAAAGATCTCTCTATCTCTCTCTGTTGCCCCCTGTCTTAGTGAAATGCTATGGGAAAATCTACAGTTCTGCATGATCAAAGACTCACTGGAAACCATGCTTATTGGACATACATTTAATGTATGTGAGAAATATTATCTCAGAGAACAAGCATCAATATGAAGCACTCAAATGATCTTGCTGGCACTTTTAATAAAACCATATGGTTAGCACTGAAGAGAGGGCTTTTAACTTATCAATAGAAACCTGCAGATTTTTACATAGTTCAGTTTAAAAAAAATAATTGCAGAAGTATGGATATAGTCCATTAATGTTGATGTATAATTAAACTTTATAGCATTTAAAATTTTTCTGGTTACTTTTAGGTTTGAGGAAGGAAGTTATTAACTTTTAAAAGTTACTGGCTGTTAAGGTTTGAACTGCGGGATTGTTTTATCTCACACGTTTCCTTTAGGGAGACTGTTAAAATATCACAGGCAAAACATGCCCATTTCTTCTGGGCCTTTCTCTATCCAAACAACTCAAGGCCCCCACTGGCTACAAATCATAATCTTACAGGCTAATCAAATTGTAAATCTCAGCTGTTATTGAGTGCATCAGGACAATGCCTTCTACAAAGCATGCAGAATATACTCAATGTCTTTAGGGCAGACAAGTTTTTGATTAGCTGTGTTTTCTTAATTCAGAAAACACCAATGTTCAGCGATCAGACAGGAAACACCTAAAGGAAGCTGGTTTTCCTCTGATAAATTATAGAGAAACCCCATGATGGTTCAACACTTAAAAATGCCTGTTCTGCAATTTATTTTATCTTTCAAAAAACATATTTTGTTGTTACATTATTGTAGGCAGTCTTTAAAAGGTATAATGCACTAATTTTAGGTGGATCTAATAGTAGGCCATGGTTAAATGAGACCCTTAAGTCTACATCAAGTGCAATATTCTGAAGGCATAGATAATCAGAATTTATTTAGATGACGCCAAAATGTATTTTTTTTTATCTTACATTGAACACCTTTAGTGTAGCCAAAAGCTGTTGTTAAGCATTTTTATTTGCGGTTTTTACTGTGTTTTCTTTATTTATGGAAGATGGATGGAGCTAAATGCATACATGGGAATCCTAAAAGATAACTGGTTATAGGCTGCAGAACTAGCTACCGAACCAGGGGTTTACCTGCCAACATGACAAGATATAAAGAAAAATCGCTTAAATTATAACAAAATGGCTTGGATGAAAGCATGTGGTGGAATGAAGCAATCAAAGTTCAGACCTAATACCTACCAATAATCTGAGACATCTTGAATTTTAAAATCATGGTATATGTATAACACTAAGTCTGTTAATCTACAGCTGTAGCAAAATGTGGTCCATTCAGAAAGATAAATTAAGGGACTGATTTCCTGACATCATGATTGATTGATTGATTGATTGATTGATTGATTGATTGATTGATTGATTGATTGATTGATTGACTTTATTGATCTCAAAATTTGCACATTCTTATTCCAAGAGTTATCATTCTCCTTTCACTTTAAAATTAAATGATTTTATGTTGGCCTAACAAAAATTTCATATAGAAATAAAAAGACAATGATGAATAATTTTAATATTCTTCAAGTCAGAGAAGAAGAAACTCCAAAATCTGGTCTTTAGTAACACCTTAAATTTCAAATGCTGAGCTTTATATTCATTTTCAGTAAAATGCAAATTGCTACTGTATGAGAAATTATATTTTCAGGTAATTAAAAAAAAATGTTGTCACATTAATATTTCGATTTTAGAATGGAGGTCAGAATAAGGGAACATTGATTCCTTAAGCCAATATTTGATCTGGGATGTTAGTTATGAAAATGTATTCAATAAATAGTGCTAATGAAATGCAAGGAAAGAATAAACCTAAAAGATGGATTATCATCAGCTATTCAGAGTTTAAAAAAGATTATACTAATATTTCTTAATGATCGTAGATTCATTTATTTGTACTATTGTTGTTGTAAAAAAAGAATAAGAATTTAGCAGTTTCCTGATGCTGCTTCTCTAAACTGTTCTGTTCAGCTGGTAGTTTTCATAGTGGAGATTTAACGTCACTTTTGTATAAAACTATCTCTAAATAGACCCTCTTTTAAAGGGGAGAGAAGTTAAATTAATTTCTCATTCATGTTCAACTTTGCCGTTTTTTATTTTAAGCTGCCACTAGCTGAGTCTTATTTAATGAGCAGGATGAAAATTTTTATGGCTTTCAGGTAAATATAATAAAACATAATTTCTGTTACAAGCTTATACAGTATGAGCTTTCATTAAAGTCTTATTAAGTAATCATTCTAAAATAAAAAGTAATGAAAAAAAGGACTAAATTATTAGACTTGATGTTTCACTTTGCTTATTAGCATAACATTAGAAAAACAGCAGTACCTCTGTGTATACATTAAGAACCTGTAGATTTTTTTAAATCCTTCCATTATCTTTAAATTCTAAAAGTCTTTAAAGGCTAAAAAAGGGCAAATTTCTTTTTTTGTATTCACCTTCCTGTTATTTGCTGAATATGTGAACTCTATGTTTGTTTTACAGTCTGAATAAACCGCAGACATGGCTCTAAAGTTAAAAGAAACTAGCTTCAAACATTTCTGTGCAACCCCCAGCTTCGATATTAATGCGTCATGTGTACTGAAAACAGATAACTCTGAGGCTTTAACTCTGAAATAACTTGAACTCTTTTAATATTAGGGGATTTTTACAGTTATTAGTATGATGTTTAATAACAGAAAAATATCACATCTTTTATTTTTATGATAACCTGTTTAGCTTAAACTGGATCTTAGTTATCAGCTTTATGCATCTGTTGTGTTTATACGACAATAATAATATAACGTAGAAAGATTCTCAAGAGATAGGGTTAATGTGAACTATATATGAATAAAAAAATTTTGTTTTAGCAGGGAGAATTTGTATTCACATCCAATATTTTTTGTGAAATACAGTTTTACCTTAATAGTTTTAGAGTATCACTAATGTTTGTCTTTCTGAAATAGATATATCATATTTATCTCTTGAATTTCCTGCCATGTTTATGATGTCTTTAATTCATAGCCTTTTGTTTTATACTAATTTTGTTTTCATCACAGAAAGCTGGATGCCTTCATTTATGACGCTGCAGTCCTTAACTACATGGCGGGCCGAGACGACGGCTGTAAGCTGGTGACCATCGGCAGTGGTTATATATTTGCCACCACAGGTTATGGGATCGCCCTACAGAAAGGATCCTATTGGAAACGTCACGTTGATCTGGCCATACTTAGCATCATAGGAGATGGTAAGATAATGCATTCATCAGAGTTGCAGGACTTTGCAGATCTTTAAAGTGGACAGTTTTCCTTTTTTTCACTCTCCAAAAGCAATCTTGTTCTCCCCCATTCCCCCTTTAGAAAGCTATCAAGGGCTAGTCTTAACACACCATTTCATCATCATTAGTCTGCGTGGTTTGCTATGTGTGTGTGTGTGTTCCCACCATATCCTGATATGTTTACTCCCCCAGATTGTTCTGAATAATAAACCAGGAGATGGTCTGAAATGAAGAAGTAGAATGAGCTAGACAGAAATCAGACCACTAAAGCGCTTTGCTTTACAGCCGACCTTTTCATTCAGGGCAAACACTCTCATGCCTGAGTACACACAAGGACCCTGATAATAATTCCTCCCATCGTGTGTTATCACTCCATCATTATCAAAACCTTACCCCTCCTGTTACAGCTGGTGCTTTTTAATCCATCAGCTGTTCACGTTGTGATTCGCTTGCTAAAAAACTGTCAAAGGAGAAAAATTAACCACAGTGAAAATTAGACAACAGAAAAATACATTTTACAAGGGGATTATCTGCATTTGATTTTATGTAGGTATAGTGTAAAATTTAAAGGTATACCTAAAATGAAACAAATTCTTCCCCTTTGTGTGTAATTGGGTTGAGTCTAGGACTAAAACCTTGAGCAGATTAATCGTGATCAACCAATTATTGAAATAATCATAAAATAATTTTGTAATTCAATCGTTACACTGACTAATATGCTGTAAACAGACTCTAACACATGCCATTTGCTGAATGAATAACCAGCTTAAAGCAGTAATTAAAACCAAAGTCTACAAATATTAATATTATAAGTGTTGTTTATGTATGAAATTCCTACATATTTTCGCTACAGAATAAATTGATTATTTACTCATGGAGAAGCTGCAATTAGAAAAATATTCAATTTATACAGGTAACACAATCATGTTCTTCAACATATTTCTAAGGAAAACAAGCTGATTACGAGGACTCATTGACTCTTTGCAATCCCTCACACTGAGTATGCATACAGAAACCGATAAAGACATAAATTAAACAAGTTTTTTGGCACTCAGGCCCCTGCAGAAGACTTAGAGGATGTAAATCAGCATTCGCTTGGATGATTAACCAAGAAATGGATTAGGGTAGTTTTCACCTGGGGCCTGGACTTTGGTGGTGGAATAGGCCATGTGATGAGTGGGACTGAGAATGAGGGAGCTGATTGGATTGTGGTGGTTGAAAATTCGAGGTTTGCGAGACAGAAGCTGGGCCAGGAGGTGTGGCCCCTGAGTTGAATGGCTGCAGCTGAACGAGAAACATTGCAGGTGGTTCAGGTGAAGCTGATAAGAGTGTTTCAGATTTAATTTACACGAAAGGCTTCATTGACATAAGTATATGTATGTATATCTTTAAACATTTTGCGTTTTGCAAGTCATTTAAAATGTGCCAATAACTTTTTTTATTATAAATGTTAGCATATTTATATATATATATATATAAAAACGGTAGACAGGAGGAGGAAACAAACAATATAATATCTACTATCTATCGATCAATTGATTACTACAATAATCAACAGATGTAGCCCTAGTTGATCAGCAATGAATATCTGTCAAAATTATACCGATGAATAGTTCTTTGCAAATAAATAAATACATAAATAGGTAAAGACTATGCTCCACCACAATTATTCTGCTGAGAACAGAGAACATTTTGCAAGACCAGAAACAACATGAATAAAAGAAACAGCTATGCTCTAAATTGTATTAGTTTATTCTGCAAACATCAATTTTTTCAACAGGTGCTGTGTAAGCATTATTCTTACACACGGAATGAACAAAACGTATTATCTTAACAGTAAAAAGTAACTTTTGATGTCGCTTTTAAACCAACACAGCATGCGATGTTGGTTTATTTCTAAAATATGCTTTTAAATTGACATATTACATTTTATATTAATAATTTAACAAGTGGATGTTATGATAGAAATTAGTTTTTTATCAGGTTTAACTTTCTTGAAAACATATATCGTAATGAATGCATCTTTACAAGTTAAATATGTAAAACAAAAATATTGTAGGAGAAATGATCCCTTAAGCTCTCGTTTCCTTCCTTTGTCTTCTTTGTTTTCATTCATTTGAACTTCCTTCTTTTTTCTAACTGCTCTTTATATTTATCCAGAGGTTTTTGCTTTTTCCCCCTTCTTAAGTTCCTGTTCAATCCCTTTCTTGCTTTCAAGAAAATATACTTTATTTCTCCACTTTTCAAACAGGTGAGATGGAGGAGCTGGAGGCACAGTGGTTGACTGGAATCTGTCATAATGAGAAGAATGAGGTGATGTCAAGTCAGCTGGATGTGGACAACATGGCAGGGGTCTTCTATATGCTGGCTACAGCTATGGGCCTCTCCATTCTCACTTTTATCTCTGAGCACCTTTTCTACTGGAGGCTGAGATACTGCTTCACTGGTGTCTGCTCCGGCAGGCCGGGCATGCTCTTCACTATCAGCAGGGTGAGAGAAAATGAAACACGTATAATAACATTTTTTTCCACTGCTGGAGCCATTCTCAATTTAGTTTGAAATGTGACAGCTTCAGGATCAGTTTTGATTTGTAGGGGACTGGTGGTCACCACCTTTGTAGAATATGTTTGAATTTTTGGCTGTGAAAACCATTTTTCTGCCAAACCTTTACCTGCATATGGGCATTGTGTCTGGTAAAGAGAGAAAATAACATTATAGTCCAGCTGAGGCACATCCATTTGACACCCAATTATCTATAGAAAAGCCTTAATTCTTTATAGCATAGATTAAAAAAGGATCCATGATAATGACAGAATAAGATCATACTGGCTGATCAGTGATGCAAAACTCCTGTTCCACCACATCCCAAATGTCTTCTATTCAGTCTAGTGACTGTTGAGACCATTTAAACTCACTGATATATTCTAACAATTATATCCTCCTAGATATGCCATACAATATAGCCATAAAAAGAAGGGCATTGTCAGCACCTTTGACCAGGTAGGCTGTGTCTTTTAAACAACGCTCAACTGGGACTATGTGACCTAAACTTGAGTAAAGTATCACCCACACCATTATACCTCTCAATTGACACTCATTAGACAGGACAACCTTTTTTTCAAAAAGGTTTTTTCTTCAATCTTGGTGAGTTTGTTCAGTTGTCTGTTGTTTTTTTAACTGACAGAAGGGCCTCCATCTGCTCCACAGTTCGACCTGTTGATTGCTCAGAGATCGTATCTTGATTGTAACATTGGTTATTTCAGTAACTCTTGTCTTTCTATTATCTCAAATCAGTCAGAGTGGTAGTCTAAACATCTGAATTCAATGAGGCATTTTGGCCACTGTTGCTGCTTGCAGTTAATTGTTTCCCTTCGGATTATTGTCTTTAAACACCAGCATTGGCAGTGTAGAAAAATCTTAACAATTTCTAAAATTTTCAGGCCAGGCTGGCTGGCACCAACAAACACGCTACATTTAAAGCCACTTAATTCCCCTTTTCTTTCTTATTCTAATGCCTAGTTTGAATTATTGAATTCATCTCTACCACGTCTTTATGCCTAAACGATTTGGGTTGCTGCCATGTCAATTAATCAATTGCTATTTCTATTAGGAGGCAATTAATATGTTTAACTTAAAACTGATAGAAGTGGATGGATTGATGGATTGAGATTAACAATAATTAGATAAGAAATGAGCTCTAAAGAACTGTTTTTACATATTCTAATTTCTTTTATGCAACTTTCTTCACAACCTGAAACCTACATTTTCTTACTTAAAGTTAGGCTGTGCAGGGGAGCTGTAGAGAACTTATTTTACATGTGTTCTTACACACACATTCACATGTCGGCCTCATGAGTTAAACATTTTGAGAAACATGCAAGTCCCATAAGATAATGCGACCACAAAGGACCCAGTTGAGGTGCAGGCATGCAAACCTTAATGTACACACACAACACAAATGGGGGCACAAAGAATATCCACTTTTACATTATTCATATTTGATGCCTCTGTTTCAGGCAAAGCTTTTATCCCAGCAGCATTTCACACATTAAGTGTCTTACAAAAAACTGTGTGCGATGTGTCTTAGAATGTGTGTCAGTCTCTTCACGTGTACATGCTGTTTGAGCAGCACCACTGGAGGTTAAGTCACTGTAGGAAGAACATCTTCTTGCACTCAGGGCCCCCCTCCCCCCACACTGACATCATCCACTAAATTAAATTTTCAAGCACCTCTGAGAGCAGTTCGTCTGTGGTGATTATCTCTCTTACCCACATTACAAAATAAAATGAGGTGAGGGTTAGCAGTGAACCCACTTAATAAATGAAGTAGGTGTCTATTATTTCACTTTGCAAGAAAATTAGTTGAACACATGTATGAACTTATTTTGGATAATGTCAATGGTTTGCAATATGCTTTTACTTTTTAATGAGCCTATCTCTGTCTTCTCTTTGTGCCGCTGCCCCGGATTTCCTCATCTTCCTTCTTCTCTTTAATTCCCTGTTCTGTGCCCCTCTCAGGGTATATGGAGCTGTATACACGGCGTTCACATTGACATGAAGAAGAAGACACCTGAGCTGGACTTCAGTCCTCAAGCCAACATGCTACACTTACTCAAATCTGCCAAGTCCATTGCTATGTCATCACCCAAACGCAACACTGTCCTTCTTCAACCCAGCATCCTAGATATGATGTCAGGAAAAGGTATTGCACTGCTTTTATAGGCGTGTGGTTTTTAAATGTAGTCTTCTTACAACTTTAAACTCCAATCCCTTTTATTAGAATTTAATTTGATACCAACACAAAGTGGCACATAATGTTAAACCTGAAATAAAAAGGAAATTCGCAATTCCTTTTTGGAGTAGCACACACTTGGTTTTGCAACCTGAAATATTTGCTAAACCTTTGTTTAAAAACTCAGAAACTCAATCTAAATATGTGATATTCTCACTTGGACATATATTAGCACTTTTCTAAATCACTCCAGTAGACCTTTGGTTGCATATTTTTGTTGGTTATGCTACTCAGCCTCACATGAAATAAACGCTTTCACAAGACTTTTAAACAAAGTACACATTTTATGTTCAGTGATATACTTTACATCAAACAGGTTTATTAGCGATTTATAAAGTTTAAGCTCAGTGCATATAAAGGATAAACTATTTTCCTTTGGTTGGTTTCCAAACTGCTATTAGATTAGTATTTGTGTCCAAGCAGGCGTCATGATTAGAGAAGAAATGGTACACTCTGCATGCCAAGGTAATAGAAAATGTATCAGCTAACTGGCAAAGCGTTCATGCAAACATTAAACTGTTGTAGCTGCTGTCTGAGAGCATGTCTTCTTGTCTCCTAGGTAACTCACTCCACAGTCTCCCTCAGAAGGGTCCTGGTCTCTATAGCAACGCTTCAGGTCCACAGGCTTTCCTGTCACTGTCCGGGCGACATAAAAACCACCTAAACAATTCTGCACCATTTCCAGGACAACAACAAGCCCCCACTCTCCAGACCAGCCCTAACAAGCCCCAGCTGTCAATCACAAACGACAATGGCAAGAACCGCCTTGCGGGGCCTGCCATTGCTGCATCAAAGCCACGGGCCCTATGGAAGAAAAGTGTGGAGACGCTGAAGACTCAGCCAAGTGTTGTGTCTCCAGGGGGCCCAAGCCCCACCCCAGCTTCAGGGACAGGACCTCCACAGATGAAGAGCCAGCGCTACCTGCCAGAAGAGCCACAACCGTCTGACATATCAGAGTGTTCAAGTCGGCCACAATCACACAAAGACTCAGACTCCATGGGTGCAAGGGGTGGATTCAAGCCAATCAATCAGCTGAGGAAAAGGGGCGGAGGTGGTGGTAGTGGAGGAGGAGGAGGTGGTGGTGGTGGAGGTTCCAAGATCTATTCCATTGACTCTGACCAGGCCAGCCTCCAATCTGCTCCTCTGTACCAACGAGACAGCCAGGGGGGAAGTGATGAACACAGTTACCCCCCTGACCTCTTTCCACCTGACAGCACTTACTCACACCAGTCAGATGCACCCATTATGCAGCTAAGCGCCAGCCTCCTCCACCACAGTCACAGCGCCGAGGCTGACCTGCACTCCCTGAAGGACAAGAAATACAGTACCTACACACACAGCAGGTAGGATGTCCTATCAAAACTAAACTGAGGTTCATTCACAGGTTTGTGTTGTCTCCTGTATAATCGTTATGTCTTTCTCCACTCTATGCAGCGCAAAGGACAAATCAGCAAGTTCTTTCGAAGCTCCAGGGTCAGGCTCAGCGACACAAGGCTCCAGGCCAAGTCACTGTCGCACCTGCCTCAGCAAGCTCAGTGGTTATTCTGGTCTGTACACTGTTCGCTCCCCTCAAGCTCGCTGTGATGCATGTGCCCATCTGGGAAACCTGTATGACATCAGTGAAGACCACCTGCACTCACACTACAGCCACACCCACCCACAAAGCAGTGACATGTTTACTCACTACCTTCCCCAGAGTGAGCTAGACCTGGTGGGTGAGGGGGACGGTCTTGTCAGCCACTTTGAGCCAACCCCATCTTCACCATCTCCTCTGCCCACCTCTCCATCCGCCCAGCACCTTCAGTTAAGTCGTCAGCACTCCTACGAGAATGTGCTTCCAGATGGCATTCCTGAGCGACAGTCCCAGTCTCACCACCACATGCGAGGACTCAGCCTGCCTGACAGAGATCGGGACAGGGAGCTGATCCTTGATGATGGGGCTTATGCCAATGTTCTCACAATACGCTCTGACCGGCCATACAGCAGCCGCAGCCCACCCTCTCCATCTCCATCCCACCACCACAGCTTGGACATCCCAATGCCTATGCCACGGCGCTCAAAGAGCCTTCTGCCAGATCGCCCGTCGCATAACCCCTTTCTGCATTCAGCCCCAGGCACAGCACAACGAGACTCCACCTCCCAGGCTACCACGCGCTTGCCGCAGAAAACTTCCTCCCACGACCTCTATAAACAGAGGATGCAGCTGTCGCTCACCCTCGGCAACCATGGCAGCCATCATGTCAACCAGCATGGAGGCCAAGTCGATCAACAGGTGTTTTACCCTCAGCAGGAGCCTCCTGTCGTGGCCTACATGGTCCCACCTGCTGCCTCGCAGCCAATGAGCTATGTGACTGCACCGCGAGCCTCGAGTGCAGGTGGAAACCGGCCCCGGCTCTACCGTCGCATGCCGAGCATTGAGTCTGATGTCTGAGAGTCACAAAAACACACGTTTACTCTCACTAAAAACATACAAAGGCAGGCATGTAAGGAGAAGGTGTGTGTGACTGGACCCGGCAGCTCTGTTCCGAAGCACATATGAAGATACAAACACAGACAGACACACATAGATGTGAAAAACTCCAGGCTCAGCAGTGGACCAAAGGGGTTAATAGAGATACAGAATAAATACATTTTCCTATTAAACCCTGTGCAGGGCAGGAAAGGGGCCACAGGGACACCTGGAGGCAAAGTTGCAAAATTAATAGTGTGTGTGCGTGTCAGTGTGTGTACTAGCCTAAAGCTGTGGGCAGCGGGGCACAGGCTGACAATACTTCTAACTAGAAGGATGGGACTCCTTGTGGAATAAGTGGAATACTGATCGCAGAATATAAGGCCAACAGTGGGATCAGACATCAAAACCAACCAAATGTTAGAAAGACAAACAAACCTATCCCACCCTACCCAAGAAAAAGGGATGCTTTTTTTCTGAGGTTACACACATATACATGGGTATCACCCAGACATAATCCATCGCCCCAAACTTCCTATCCAGAACTCTCCTGTTGCACTATGATTTCTCCTTTAGTTAACCCCATTGTTGTCTGAGCCTTCGAAATGCACTGCCAGCATGGCTTAAAGAGTGGTCCACTACGCCGAAGTAATCCTTGACTTGAATCGGAATTATGATCTATGTAATGATGGAAATGCAGGCAGCTGGTTGGGTACAGGTGAAGCTCCTGCCTGCAGATGTACAAACGCTTGAACACACACCCAAACTTAAAAAAAAAAAAAAAACAGATTCTGTCTGTTTTTTAAGGGGAAGTTAAACTTGCAGACTGTTTATCGTTGATGTCAGTTAATTGAACATTCCAAAAAGTGGACCAAATGTGGCCACTGAAAAAAAAAAGCCTCTCAGGATGAGAGTGTGTGTTCCTGAGTTTCTAGATCTAACAAAGTGCAGCATCCTTGCTTCCTCTTAGCTAGCCTTCAGGTCTTACTGCATGCTTCCTACTGCCCTGTGCTACACTTAAACTCCTTATACAGGGTCATATATGCACAGGCACTCACACCCGCACAAACACAAGGTACATGCACATTATGACATACACGCACATGTGCATATTCGCAGTAGTTTAGGATTGTAGAATAGGGTGGGTGTGTGTGAGTGTGTGTGAAGCTATGAAATAGCTTCTCTTTGTGCACTTTGTAGATTTTATACCCCCCCGCCACCCACACAGACGTTTGACCAAAAAACACTTTTATACTAAAAAAATATGAATATTCTCAGTCACTTGCTGGATAGATGTTTTCTTTTTCTTCTTATTTCTCTTTAGCGTTGGATTTTAGGGCACCATGAAAGGGAAAGCTCTTCCAGAATCAAATGTTTTATAGAGTTAGACAAAGGGTTACTGCATCATGCATACAGTATACATAACACAAACACTTTTCTCCTTCTTTGTTTACTTTTATGTGCTCATCCCTCCTTTGAGCCTTTTTCTGCTTACCCTATCAGTTTGTTTCCATTTATTCTCTCTACTGCTTCGTATTGCTCTTCCCTTGCTTCCTGATGTAGAGTAGATAAAGTATCAAAAGAGTAAAGTTAAGTCTCGATGTGAAAAAAAAAAATCAAATTTTGCTGGAATTCACTTATCAGTAGTTGTGAGAAATCATTGGACTCAGCACTGTCTCTCATAGGATGCATTGTCTTTTTTTAATACTCTATGTAGAACTAAAGGACTTGCTGACTTTTTTGATGTTTTCGTGTTGAATTCTTAGGCAAATTGCATCGTCAGGTACAGGTTTTTCCTCATTGAAATAATTGTCAGAGTAGCTGGTACGGTACTTTAATGCCTCTCTTTCAGTGAGAGTGCAGTGTTGTGCTTCATCCCAGAGAGGCACGTGGCAAAGGCAGAGTTTCCAAAGGGACTCGTTTCAGAAGCAGTATACACACATACAAGCACTCACTTGACAGGCCGGCAACGTGCGTATGAGTGTTTTAGAAATCCATAACCTACTGAGCAAGGGCATTGATTTTTCAGCTCAAGGATTTTGATGGAAACAGGACTTGATATCCCATTAGTTGAGTGTCTGTCCATATTCTCTTTTTTTTTTTTTTTTTTTTGCTATTCTACCTTCTCTTTCACATGAACAACTACACTCACTTATATACAGTACATAAGTGGAAAGATAATGCAGGACAGTTTGTAAACAAAACAAAAAAGACTAAAGAGACGCACCTTTGACTGATGAGTGCTGGCCCTTTTTTGGTCATTTTAACAGGTTTGTTGTGAGTTATATGCATAATATCAGGTTGCAATATTATACTTCTGTAAAAAGATTTTTTGTTTTAATTGTTAGAAAATTATAATTTCTTTGATTTGAATGGTATTAAGTACTGAACTCATTTCAAATGCAATGTGGCTTTTTTAGTTCTGTTTTGAAAAAAATTAAAGGGCATGTTTAGATTTCTTCTGTCATTTTACATTCCCTCCCCCTTCCCTCCTTCCTCCAAAATGGCATAGGCTTGGAACTCAGTAGAATATTTCCAGATGGGATAACACACTAGTTAACTATTTGGGTCAGCTAACCTGTTAACCTACTACGCATAGATGAATCATTTTCGATGACTGTCCAGCCTGTGTGGTTTGAACAAAATCCCCATCCCGCCTACTGTTTCTCCACCATGAGTCTGTGCTTTATCACCTTTGAGAGTGCAAATATTTTCTGTGTGTTCCACAATGCAAAATGATTTGTATAAAACAGGAAGTGTGAATGTAGAGGTTCCAGGTTGTGTGTCCAAGTATTTGTCTTGTGAGGACAGTGTAATGGCAATTTTTCAGAATTTCCCCATTGTGGGACAATAAAGGGATTTTCTATTGTCTATTCTATTCTATCGGCTTACAGGTACTTATGGGGACCTGTCAACTGGTCAAAAGGTAAGAATAAGGCTTGGGTAGTGGTCTGAGTTAGGCTATTAAATAGAATGGGAAATTAATGGAAGCTGATGTAAGGATACTCGGACATAACACCTGTGTGTGAGTGTGTGTGTACATGTGCTTTTGATATACTCTTTCCTTCATCCTATTCCCAACAATTGACCAGACTCATGCAACACAAATATAGAAACAAACAAACACACATGCAGACGTGTCATGTTGAATGAGTTTTATACATCCAACACCCTCCATTTCTTTTCTTTAATTTAACCCTTTTCTATTTGAATTATTTTTGTTTTATTTTTATTTTATTTTTGTTACTGCATGAAGTGCTTGTGTTTATATTGTTACATATTTTGTTACAACAGCTGATTTCTCCCCGAGTTTGGACTAAACACATCAACACGCACCTTTCCACCCAGACTGTACTAATCCACTTTCTAGTTACAGAGTTCTCTACATTTTTTTTTTCTGCATAATACCTGGCTGGTTCTTACATAACCATTGCCACCACAAGTAGGCCTATTTAATGTTTTTATGTTTTTCAGACTCAACGACATCTCAATTTCAAATAATTCCTCCAGTTCTGGGTGAAAGGAGTGTTTTGGTGTGTGGTCCTGTGATTCTCTGCTGTGTATTAAACCTGTGTATAAGTTCAGGGGTTTCAAAGCTACTACGTGTGTTGTAAATACTACCTTATCACTCAGTACCTCTGTACAATCTGTAAATAAGTAAAGGTTACATTTTTCTACTTGTCTGTGTCTTGTTAATTTATCTATCTATCTTCTATATATCGATGATATATCTATCTCCTCTGAATAATTTTTTGCCTCACGTTTGTTTGTTTTGGTTTTGCTTGCTAGCTAGCTTGCTAATTCCCCTTATCAATAGTAACATTGATTGCAAATTAACTTGCTATATTAAATTTATTTAAACCTGATGCAGAATTGAATATATTTACCTAACTATATTTTATAGCAACTGATTTCCAGCTAGAAAGTTTGCAAATCCATTTGTTGGCTATCACACTAGCTTTTGTGATATAATGCTTTTCAATGATGGATATCATTAATTTTCTTTTGTTTTAGCAATTTTGCTTTCTTGTTTATTTGTTTGGTTCAGTTAAGTTGACCTTTATAGTCCATCAAGTTGAAATGATCTTTATAACTTCTAACCTTTCTTTCCAGCAAGAAAGCTTGATACTCTTTTGGCTGTTGCCAAATAGGTTGCCTAATATAATTTGGATTATCCTGCTCACCATCTAGATTTTTGTATTTATCTTTAAATGTTAGTAAGTTATAAGTTAAATGTTATGTTGGGCTCAAGATACTACACAGCAAACAGAATTGCTGATTTTGTATAAACTTCTAAAATATGTTGTTATTCTAAAAAAAACAGTTTTATTACTTTATTGCTGATTCCTAAGGATAACATTTGCTAGCACTGTTTTGGCTAGAAGGTGTGGAGCCTCTTTGCAATACACTGAACTATATCTAATATATATATTATTTTATACTTAATCATTAACAGAAGGCCATGACAAGTTCATAGCTAATAGCTCACTGGGAATCAAGGTCTTGGTGGTTAAGATTTTATGTTAGTAAGATTGTTCTTTCTTTATAAATGATTTGTTTTGATGACAGAAATAGAGAAATTATGTGATAGGCTCCAAGAGTAATGTCTACAGAGGACGGTTTAAAGAGCTTCTGCTTGAGTTTAAATTTATCAGTAGACAAAACATCTCTAAGGTTCAAGCATTTTTATGTCAGAATGATTCATAGGTCAATGTTAAATCACTTTCAAAAATCAACAAAGACCTTTGTCTGAAAATGTTCATGGGTTTCATTGGAAATGTGTGGGGGGAAAAACAGTACAAGTCTAGACAAAGAAAAACTTTGAAGTTTTTTCAAAAAATTGCAGAACTGTTACTTAAGACCATAAAAAACAAACTAAACTTTAGCTTCTTGGGAGTACAATAAAAAGAAAAGGACTGATTTAAGACTTTTGCTCAGAAAGACTAGTCTCCCTTTCCGTTTCTGCAATTCTCTATAACTGTTCAGAGACAAGAGCTTTTTGGGATTCTGCTGTACAAGGGCTCTTTCAGTGCCTCTCTCCGTCAGCTTTCATAATGCCTGTGTGTGCACACAATATGTGTATATATGTGTGTGTTTAGACCAGTGTTCTGGTAAAAAGCTTTATTTTTATATTTTTGTCTCCCTCAGGAGACGGACGCTCTAATCTGGGCTGAAGTGGGACAGGAGAAGGGAGCAGAGAGTCGCACGTAGACATATAACTCTTATATATGCTGCAAAAAAATCTGCTCATACTGAGGGTGAAGGATGTGTCACAAGCCATAGACCAGCTGCAGCCAGGACGGAAGGAGGAGAGAGGAGAACAAAGATTACAAGGACTACTGCTACACTTTTTGTTGCCCTTGAAAGGGGAACCTACCTCGAACATACCAGAGAGTGTCCACACGGGTTTGTAAGGGAATGTGGTTATGTGTGGAAGTTGCTTCCTCAGAGACAAGGTGTTAGTACCACTGCGGCCTAATTCTTCCTGACATGATCCATCTGCTCCTATCTAATGGAAAGAGTAACACACACTTCAAAACAAGCCTTTACCTCTTATTGAATTAATAGAATTGAGTCACCCCACATGTCAGGCTGTAATGCAATTACCGTTACAATACACAATACATGCCCCCACCCCCCAAGAACTTACAACCCATAACATACTCATAAACACTAGCGCACAGTCCCAAAGATAGGTCGATCTAATCCCATGGCTGCACATACAAATAGACATGAACATGCAATCAGGCACTTCACCACATATAGCCATACTCTAGGGGTGTGAGATGAAGCAGATAAATGAAGATAATTAATTTTCTGGATTAAGAGCGTCTCCATCTGAGCAACCCTGCAGCTCAAGGGGAGTCAGAAGGAAAACAAGACAAGTAAGTTGGTGAAAAATGGATGATAGAGGATAGAAAGGGGTGATAGCACTGGCTTTGACAGGCCTGCTGTAGGCTGTTGGCTCTTCCCAAGACTCCAAACATCCTCATTAACCAGAACCCAGCCTACACACTTAACACGTGTGTTTCTCCGTATGTGTATGCAGTCTTGTATTGCTAAACTGCTGTGATTGTGTGTGTATGTGTGTGTTTGCCTGTGCTGGAGATAGCTTGAAGAACAGGGAGAGATGCAGAGCAGCATGGCAGCCTACACACCAAACAAACCTACAGTATGAAAATTCATAAGGACCTGGCAACGCCTACTCACAAATACTAAAAATACTGGAGTGAGTTGAGCCTAGTCATAGGACAGGAAAGGGGAGGAAGAAGAGAGAGATGAATAGAGAGATGTGAGAGAGCAGCAGCAAAGGGAGGGAGAGAAGACGGGAAAGGTGTAACATGAACCAGGGCAGAAAAGAGTTGAAAGAGAGTACAAATAATAGTTACATCAACAGTATCCAAGTTGGAACATCTATTCTCAGCCTCCAGTGGCCAGCAACCACTCTGTGTGAGAGTGAGTGAGTGACTGAGCGTGTTTCAGTGTGAAACTGCTTTCCTATTTCTTCCTTTATGTATTTGAGCTGGAGGACAAGGAGAGAAATGTTGCTGCTCTTTTTTCTTTTTCTTTCTCAGCTCTGTTTTTGGTGTGGTGATGCACAATCACATTGATTTAATGGGTATTGAGAGCAATTTTCTGTCAAAAACATCAATTTAGCAGAAGAGGAAGGCTGTGAAAAGACAGACACTTTATATTTTGTTGCAGACTTTAGAACTGATATATACCCAAGCAGACTTTTGTCAAGGATGTCAAAGCAGTTCCCTTCCTAGCTGAGATGGTGGACTTTCTGCAGGCTTTAGTAGATGTTGACAGCTGATTCTTGACTGACAGAGCAGCTGTATATGCAGAATATCTCTCTGGTTTAGCTTTAATATCAGAGTTTATCACCTGCCTGATTACAGCTCTGCACCATCTTTGAAAATGTCAGGTTAGCGATGGTCAGCTTAAGATCAACCATACCGAACATAAACATTCAATTGTTCTTTTAGAAACTCTTTGATGATGAATGGATGGACTACATTTATTTTCCATACTTTTTAAATAATTAACTGGACCTGAAAATACATTTACAGTAATGAATGTCTTAGATTATGGTCTCTTTTTTCATCTTTCCTTTTACTTTTTGTCCATTTCCCCTCACTTTCTATCTCTGTAACTTTATAAAATGAAGTTATCAATGCTTCAAAACTTGAGGTATGAAACAGTGTTAAAAATAGTGTGCTAAAAAAAATTAGTTTAGAAATGTATATGCTGAAAACTTAGTACAGTGGATCCTCAAACACTGTTGCTTTTCCTGGATAATTTTATCAGGTCTTGAATTTGTTGATGTGATTGCTTTTTTATCATTTACAAATGAGTGGCAAATGATATTCCTCGGTTACTCTGTTGTAGACCTTGCTTCTTTGTTCTGCCCTATTCAGTTCATAATTTTACCCTATAAAGGCTGGATGGAAAAGGATTGATCTTTAGATCTTTAAAAGTGGTTGAGAAATACTCATCACCTCAAGGGCAAGAAAATAAAGTAGAAAGAATTTTGGATTTAAAATCTTTGCTCAATACTTAACAGGTGACAGGTAACTGATAAACATTAGACCTGATAAAAACAATATGGATATCAAAGAGATCAAAACTACAGCTGTCTTGTCAGCTTTGCTTGTTGATAGGGGTTTTATGAGAGCCTTTGCTTGCAGAATATGCAAAACAGCTAGATCTTTATTTTCCTCTTCACTCTTGCTCACCGTATGCCAAGGGTAACCAATTAAAATCAGCGGGCTGCGAATAAAGAAGATCAACAACCAGTAAAGGTCTGGAGACATTTTTAATTATAATCCATTACTTTAAACAGCATTTAACACTGAAATAAAATGAGGTGTTTATGCATCCATGTTATGCATTGAATTTTTAAATAAAAAAAAATATTTAGAAAAAGAATAGAATATTTTTCCATTTTTAAATCTAAAGTGTTTCTGAAGTAGAGAACAACAATTGTTCAGGTTGGTATATAGACAACTTCCTGACTCACTTTTTTTTATAAAACACCTGAACTGACCATTTTTTTTTTTTTTTTTTTTTTATGGCTTAATGAGAGAACTGGGATTGCGCTGTCCTGCAAGGCTTTTAAACCTGGGTTTGAATGGTGACAAAGCCATTCTCAAGTTCTCCTTTTGAGCCTCAGTCGATATTTATTTTTTATTATGTTCATGGTGGAGAATCCTGCTTCACAGCAGTAGGTTAAGCCAAACATACTCAAAATGTGCAGGGTCATCAGCAGGCCATTCAACTTTTCTTTCACTAGTTCACTGCAGTTCTTCCAGCAGTTCACCCTTTCTCTGCTATCTTTTTCTCATCATCTTCTCCTTCTTTCCCACTGCCCATCTTGCCTGCTGTGTCTAAAAGTAGCTAGCAGCAGCAGCCCTGACTCATTGGCTAATTTGCATCACATGCAGCCGGAAAACTTTATCATACAAACAGGAGAAGGAGAAGGATGCAGTAATTTATAAATGTTTTAAATCAGGTTGGGTCCGAGTTAGCCAGCAGGTAGGTCTGGACCCTTTTCCTGTAATCCTAGACCTCTGCCCTATGCTGTCAGATACAGCAGTGTTTCCCAACCGGGGGTATGCATACCCCTAGTGGTCCACAAGTGCATTGTAAGGGGTAAATCAAACTATTATATTTC